TACATTAGTTAATTACTCAAAGTCCCTGCTTTCACTGGGCAAGCTTTCTGGTGAGGTGTAGCAGGAATAATAAAAACCTAGAGATATTGGAGTTAAAGCTGAAGACCAGAGAAGCAAAGCAGGCAGCCACTAACTCTTACCTCTACCCCAGACCGAAATGGGCGATCCTGTCTCCACGAATCCTCAGACTGTAATGAGACTTCTGTCTCCTCCTGCCTGATATACCTTTCTAGTTCTGGGATTAAAGGCATAGGATCCCAAGTGCTGAGATCACCTTTTGTGTGAGCTTTGTTTGTCTTTTAGCCTGGGTCAATTTTGTGTAGCTCAGGGTGGCCTTAAACTCACAGAGATCCATCTCCCTCTGTCTCACGAGTGCTGGGATTAAAGGTGTGTGCCACCACTGCCTGGCCTCGATGGCTAACTAGTGTGGCTAGCTCTGCACTCTGATCTTTAGGCAAGCTTTCTTCGTTGTATCATAAACAAAATGTCCCCATGGTGAGGAAGCCACATAAATAAGTAAGTATTTCAGTGCAAGTTGTGATGTCTGGTTACAAGGAAAGCTGAGTTGACCCCCACAGAGGAAGCTCATATGACCTGCTGTGGTGTTAAAAGGCTGAGGGCAGTCTGTGCCTGCACCATGGTCAGGAGAAGTAGCTGACATAGAAGGAGGGAGCAGCAGGGGTCTGTTTTGGACTTAGTAGGCAGTAGATAGATTTGGATTTTGAGTCACTGTGCAAAGACCATTATCATTAATTTACCATTTGGACTGGTGTATTTTTTAAAAATCTGACAGCCTTGGATAAATACAGACTTTTCTCAGTATAGGCTTCCTAAATTAAGTTAAATATGTTTTTTTTCTTGTATGAACATAGCTCTATATGGTCATATATGAATATGAAAGATAAATTTTGATATTCAAAATTCCTGGTAACATTAATTTAGTAATATAGAACAAGGCAGAAAATTAAACAAAGCCATTCAAGTTTCTATTCCTCCTGGACACTGCTGAAGGAGAATTTTTCTGTGTGTGTTGTGAGCCACGTGCTTTTCTTTGTTCTGGGAATTTTTTCCCCTTTTGTTTTCACAGTGAATAGCTTTGAAACATGAAAATGCATCCCCTCTGGAAGACAATGGCAGGTTAGTGTATAACCTTGGAAGTAGGGGTGTTTTTCCTCTAGAATTAAAGGCAGGGGCTTTCCTAGACACCATGAATGACTGGGTCTCCTTGGGTTAGTCAGACTTTCATCACCGCCATGACACCCAAGTACAAGAAGCAGAAAAGGTTTCTTTCCTCATGGTCTCAGAAGTTCTGGGCATGGTAGCCTGGCTGTGTTGTCACAGGCCTCTGGTGAGCAGACCTCCATAGCAGACCACAAATGACAGTGTGGAAGACAGAGAATGAGAGAGCAAGATGGAGAGAGAGAGAGAGAGAGAGAGAGAGAGAGAGAGAGAGAGAGAGAGAGAGAGAGAGAGAGAGAGAGAGTCTGAGCTAGAATATATCCTTTGATGACACATCTCTAGTGACCTACCTCCTTCATAGGCCTCAGGTCTATTCCTCTAAGACACTGACACAGGAATAGTGATGTTCATGGAGCTTCTAGGGGATGAGTCATGAAGTCTTTGTCTTTCACCTGGGAGCCTTGTTGTCTGCCACTATCTCAAAAAGGGGAAGACTTATTTGTCAGCTGCAAGTGGGTAAAATCTCAGGCTTTCCACAATCTTGACAAAGACTCCCAAGCAGTCTGAGAGGGAGGAATAACGGGAGGCAAAACCATTCCCTAGTGTGCTCAGTCTGTAAAATATCCAATTAACATTTTCTACTGTTTTTCTCCTGCAAAGTCACAAGACAAGCTAGTCTCAGACAATCACATCTTAAGTGTGATTTCTATTTTAAAATGTGTGAAACCTACTAGGTATTAATTGTTCTGCTCTTAATATTCCTAACCAAGTAGGAAGACATTCTCACAACAAAAAGAATGATATAGTAAAATTTTAGGACCATCAAGACATAAAAGACTTGATTTGAAACTAACAATTTTGGGTGTATAGGCTTGAATGATGCCCAAGCATAGTTCTATGAATGATTCTCACAATACTATAGTTTCTCCACATTCATACAACCAGTCCATCACAATGGGAGATGGTCTTGGGGTTACGCTTCCTCCCCACTTGGATTCTGAGGAACAGACAGTGTTATCGATACTGTAGAAGACTTCAAGGAGCTGTTCTGGCAGTTGGCGATGGTCTCTGTCTCCAATATAGTGACTACATGTGAAGGGTAGTGACTCAGCACCTGGAATCTGATGAGTTGGTATTGAGAACTGTTATATATGTACATTTCACACCAGCTTTCAGAGTCTGGGCAGTAAAGAATGTTGGAAGTCTTGTTAAAAATTCTTCAAATTGCCGGGCGTTGGTGGCGCACGCCTTTAATCCTAGCACTCGGGAGGCAGAGGCAGGCGGATCTCTGTGTGTTCGAGGCCAGCCTGGTCTACAAAGTGAGTTCCAGGACAGCCTCCAAAGCTACAGAGAAACCCTGTCTCGAAAAACCAAAAAAAAAAAAATTCTTCAAATTAAGAATGGTAGTATTTTAAATATATCTAGTTAATTATCATTAAAGTTAATTTCACATTTATTTTTACTTCTTTAATGTGACTACTAGAAAGTTTAAGCTACATGTGCTGCTCTTACTGAATGATGGCTGTGCTAGAGTCTTGCTAATTGAAGGGCGGTCCTTGAGCTAGCAGCATCTGTGTCAAATATAGGAGCAAAGATTCCTCATGCCACCTAGACCTACAGAGATAGATCTCTAATTCCAGAAAAATCCTAGTGAGCTGTACAAACATGTCACAAGGGTAAGCAGCAGAGAATTCCCTGGGGCTAAGCTTGCCAGATTTAACTGTTACATAAGTAGGCTATTCAATAAAATGTAGTTTTCTAATAATCATGACTTTTATATCACTGTATCTGCGTGTGTGTGTGTGTGTGTGTGTGTGTGTGTGTGTGTGCATCAACTCTTATTCCTCAGGGGAACTTGCAGAGTAGGCTAGACTGGACAGCAAGCCTTTGGAGTCCTCATGCTTTCCCAGCACTAAGATAGAAATGTGAGCCTCTGAGCCCAGTTTTTATACACAGGTTCTCCAAATCTGGCCCCTCTCTCCAGCCAAGTATACTATCTCTTAAATATTGCATGGGATACACATATGACAATAACTTGTTTTTTCTTGGATTCCAATTGAACTGGATATTGTTTTTTTGGTTTTTTGAGACAGAGTTTCTCTCTGGCTTTGGAGGCTGTCCTGGAACTAGCTCTTGTAGACCAGGCTGGTCTGGAACTCACAGAGATCCTTCTGCCTCTGCCTCCTGAGTGCTGTGCTAGGATTAAAGGCGTGCACCACCAAAGCCTGGCTTAACTGGATATTGTAGTTTATCTGTCAACTCTACAGAAGACTAAATTCCTGCTCTCAAACCTGTTTTAGTACTTGAAATTCCACAGAATCAAGAAAAAGATCAAGTAGATAAAAGAGGAGAGTTGCAGTGGCTTCCTGTTCCTCGACAGACCTGAGGCTATGGCCGTAGGGTGTGGCTTCGGGGTGCAGAAGTGATCCCTTATAAGGAAGAGGAGGGGCCAAGTTCTAACTTCATTCTTTTTTTTTTTTTTGGTCCCAGGACAGGGTTTCTTGGCTGTCCTGGAACTCGCTTAGTAGATCATGCTGGCCTCAAACTCAAAGAGATCCCCCTGCCTTTCTCTCCCTAGAGCTAAAGGTGTGCACCACCGCGCCGGGTTCCAGCCCTGCAAGCGGGGAAGAGAAGGAGATGAAGACAGAAAGGCGTGTATGAGAAGTAGTGGAAATGAATCAGGGCACAAAACGCTGCACTAAACTTATCTTTACTACCGAGACAGTATCTCCTGTTGCCCAGGTTGACCCTGAACTGAGTGTATGGCCGAGAGTGAAGTTGAACTTTTTTTTTTTTGGTTTTGTTTTTCGAGACAGGGTTTCTCTGTATTGTTTTGGAGCCTGTCCTGGAACTCACTCAGTAGACCAGGCTGGTCTCGAACTCACAGAGATCTGCCTGCCTCTGCCTCCCGAGTGCTGGGATTAAAGGCGTGTGCTACCAACGCCCGGCTGAACTTTTTTGATCTTGCTTCCAGCTCCCAAATGCTAGCTAGCAGATATATGCCAGCTCTCCCAGTTTATTATTAAATTATTATCACAACCTTCCCTTCATCACTGTTTTCCTGGTGACTGTGTTTTATGTCCTTTTGCTGTTTCCTGAAGGGGTTCCTGGTGGCATGTGAGGAGGAGAACACACAAAGATGACAAGAACGTCATCAAACAAGTCCTCAGCTTCCCTCGAGTCTATCACTGCTCGGAACTTTCATTTAAACCAGCCCTTCTCAGACCGGAGAGACGGCTCCTTGGTTAACAGCACTGGCTGCTCTTCAGAGGCTCCATGTTGGATTCCACATGGCAGCTAAGAACCATCTGTAAATAACTCCAGGTTCAGGGAATCCCAGGTCTTCTTCTGGCCTCTGGGGGTGGGGCATTGCACACATGCAGTGGACAGACATACATGCAGGAAAATATGGGTACATACAAAACAATAAAAATTTTTAAAATCTACCAAGATCCTGAAGCGACAAACGTGCCTGTGCTCCATTTCGGAAGACTTTCAGTGTTAGGAAATTTTATTATGTGTGTTTAAAATGCAAAACCTTTCTGGATTTTGTTTTGTAGACTTGGGAGAGTAATACAGCCACTCCTTATTTATCCAAGGCAAGAGGCTTTTGTCTATCATTTCATTTCATTTCCTCTTCCCCTGACTCCTTTTCATCCAGCATACACTATCATAGAAAATACTGGATTTTGTTCTGACATTTTCCAGCACGTGGCATTGTCCTGAGCTTGTCCCCCTCCCCTTCCCCTCAGCAGCGATTCTTTAAGCGCTCCGGTCCTTGTGTTCCTGTTCTGCAGAAAACCAGCACAGATGGGAGAGCTAGCCTGGCTGTTACAATAGACGCTCTGGGAGCCGTCCCACTGGGCAAGCCTTCAGCAGCTCCTGACTCCAGACCCAGAGGGTCAGTAGCATCCCTCTCAAGTCCTCTCCACAGATAGAAAGTTTGCATTTAACAGAGAACTGTGACCTACCACACATCTGCAACATAGGTAAGTGCCAGCAGGCTTTTTTGTTTGTTTGTTTTGTTTTTTTCTGACCAATTCACCCAAAACGTATAGTTCATAGATTTGAGAGAGAAGGTAATCATTTCCTGAGAAGTGGTGTGAGAAGCTTATGAAGATGTGTGACAGTCACCCACCAGCGCAACTTCCCATAAAGGGCTTACTAGCTTTGTATTTCCTCTGTAAAGCGCTACCTAATAATTTTTTAATGCAATGAATAACTGAAAGGCTAAATGCTGGGTTAGCTCTGTGCTCCAGAATGAGCATTGCCAGGTCTCACCCTCCTTGCTCCCCCATAGTACATCCTGGAAAGAAAGCTGTCTTTTTATTGGTTGATGGTGCTGTCAGTCACTTGGCAAGACCAGTTCAGCCTCTGCTGTTTGCTCTATGAATTAACAGATGTGCTTGGCTTGAAGAGACAAACGTTTCTTGATGGGAAGAAAACTCTTGTTTAGTTTTTCACTTCTGTTTTTGTGCATGTTGTTTTCAGCCACTTTGGACCAGATACTTGCCAGGAAGAATGTAGGGTGAGTAATAGCCCATCCTTTACTGCAATGTGTTTGTGAACCTCAGTGCAAGCATGAAATTAAATGTTTTTGTCATTTCTTTATACAGTTACATATCTGCATTTGTTTAGCGTTCAAAAATGTATAAGCTAGGTTAGATCATACAGCTAAGCTACAATATTTATTATGTTATACTTTTACTGTAAGAGGCAAGGATTATTGTCAAAACACTACCGACACTGCACTTAGTTAAATATACCACTCCTTAACTGACTCTCAGACCAGCCCTGGCTCTGGCTTCTTCTATGCTTACAAATAAAGGCTAAATTCACAGTCTCTCCTGCCGTAATTACGTGAATGGAGACCTTAGGAATGTATAACCTGTGATCCCAAAGAAAAGACGTTAAGGTGGTGATGGTTCATGACACAGTATTAACAATTAACAAGCATCATTTTTGTTCCCTTGTCTGTTCTCGTTCCGTATCTTATAAAGGAATACACAGACTTATCTCTTAAAAGGTATATTTAGAATCTCAACTGCAGCTAACGTATGTTGTTTCCCAATTATTCATGATATGCCATCTCACCAACTGCATCAGGGAATTTTGTGTGAACGTGGAGCATAGCAGCAGAGCCTGCAAAGCGCCTTGTAGAACTCCTAAGTCAGCAGCTAATAACAGCTTTAAGAACAGACATTCAAAATGTTTCCTTGTTTTCTCCCCCTAAACCAGTTAGTGCTTCCTTTCAAGCTCATTTTTAAATAGTGCATGGCTTAAATGTCTCAGGTGGCTAAATGTTACCATGGTTTTTTTTTGGGGACAGGTCCTCTCTAACCCAGGCTGACCTTGAATTTACCAAGCAGCCAGTGATGGTTTTGAACTTCTGATCCTCCTAGTTCAGGGATTACAGGCATTCACTGCCACACCTGGCTTTGTAATAATATGGGATCCCATGCTTTTGTGCTATGCAGCGATTACATTTAGGGCCTCATGGATGCTGAGCAAGTGCTCTACCACTGAGCTATATCCCAGCCTATTAGACATAATATTTCTCTACCAAGTTTCTATGGAAATGAGTGGCTTTTGTACATTGGAAAAAAAATGGTCACAAACTTAAAAATTCAAATTCTGCCTTTATTAAGGCAAAAATAACCATAATTTTAGCTTTAGAAGCTTAGATCTTAGAAATTATACAAACAGCTGCATCCTTCACAATAGCTACAGAAGTAGACATTACTAACAAGTGAATGAACAAGGAAAATGTGGCATATAGACACAGTAAAATTTTAGTTAACCCCAAAGAAAAAAGAAACTATGACATTTGCAAGAAGAAAGTGTAGAACTGAAATACAAAGCAGAGAACCGTGACTTAGAATCGGAAAATACAGCGTGCTCTCTCTTAGGCAGGTCCTAGATTCTGATTTTTATATGTGCGTGGAGGGAGGGACAAGTTCAGGTCATGAACCTGGGAAAGGATCACGAAAGCGAAAAAGAGGTCTTAAGGGAGGACTGGGGAGGAGTGAAACAAAGAAGTAATTGAATGCAGGAGTCCTTACAATGGAAGGGAACTATGGGGAAGGAAGAGGAGAAGGGGTACAGGGAGGAAAGGAGGACTAATGAAAGTCAGTTATAAAACAAGTTAAATCACATAGATGGCCATCCTCATCTGATAATGCATGCCAATTCACTATAAAGGGACCGACAATTCCTGTTTTTGAATTGTTCTGTCAAATAATAGATCTGGATTTAAAAATATTTTTTTAACACTGTGGGGCGACTCCTAAGAGAGATGACAGTAGTTTCAGAATGTTGCACATTTCCAAGGTTTAAAGAACAGAGTCTGGACTGCTGGGGCTTCAGGTGGCTCAGTGGCTGAGAGCACGATTGTAGTAATAAAGACCTGAGTTTGGACCTCAGAACCTAGACAGAAGAGCCAGACTTGGCCACGATCACCTGTCACCCCACCCCAGCCAGAAGACTGCTGAAAAACAGTGAGCTCCAAGTTCAGTGAGACCCTGTCTCTGGGAGTAAGGCAGAAGGGAAGACTTACCCAACATTCTCCTCTGGCCTCTACACACACACACACACACACACACACACACACACACACACGCACGCACGCACGCACGCACGCACGCACGCACGCACGCACGCACGCACATATGCATACACCTCATGCACATATGTAAACACATGCACAAAAGAAAAAGAATCCTGTAAAAAAACAACACAAAACAAAACAGAGTGATAGTCACAATTCCTTCTTTTTTGGAATCCTAAGTTGGATTTATTCTTTTGCTTGTTTGAGACAGGGCCTCACTGTATAGCCCTGCCTGGTTGGAACTTTCTATGATGGTCAGTCTGACTTTGAACTCACAGACGTCTGCCTGTTTCTACTTTGTGTTTTTTCAGCAGGGTCTCTTCAGAGATCCAGATCTTGCTGCTTCCTTTGGGCTGGCTAGCCGCTGAGTCCCAGGGACCCTTTTGTTTCTGCCAACCAAGTGCTAAGATTATAAGTGTATGGCACCATGTTCTCTGGTGTCTAGGAATTGAACTCTACATGCGTTACCAAATGAGTTATCTCCCCAGACCCATAGTCACTTGAAACTATTTTTGTTAGATTATATTAAGGACACATTCTAGGTTTCATTATGATGTCTTGCTACTTAAAAATATAGTAATTTTATGAAAGGGTCTCATTACGTTGCCCAAGCTGGTTTTGAACACCCTACATAGACTCAGAAGACCATGAGCTTTTTTTGATCCTCCTGCCCCAGGCTCCTTAGGCTTTGCAGGACTGGGCTACTAGGCCGAGCAAGGTTTAATTTTCTCACACCAGTGTTTTTCAACCTATTCATACAAGACAATTGTGGGCAGTTGTTAGTTTTTACTGTCATTCAGATACTATGTAGTGATGCATATTTTGTTTTGGTTGAAATTAGGTTTCCAATAAAATCTCATTTGGTCAGGCTGAGGGTTGTATGCCTGCTTTGCAGTGTTTTTTTTTTTAAACTGACATTATTATATTGCTAGACCAGAGATGTATTAAAATGACAGTGAACTTCATTGTTTACTCTAAGCCTTTCTTTAATGAACATATGAAAAAAATTTAATTAATAGATCCAAGCCTCAAACCAAGCAGTTTAATGGTAGAATAGCTTGTCTATTTATTCACTAATATACTTTTATTCAATAAATATCTAGTAAATATCTTCTATTAGCTAAATATTCCCAGTTGACTTGATACATTTATCGTGCTTAGGTAAAATCTACTTCACCATTTCTCCTTTTGTTAAGGAAGAGACTTAAAGCATTAGTTGTATAAGCTGGTGCTGTGATATATAGCTTTGAATACTATTCAAATTGAAGAAAAATTTAAAGTTCTGTTCGTGTGTATGAGAGAGCTTTGTATCTCCAGGGAGTGTTTTCTGCTTGTTAGTTCTTCTGTCATATGTTTAGTGATGTTTCAGCTCACATGGGAGGATTTGGAGTTTTGGTAGGTAAGAATGTTTTGCGTAAGATATACATTACTTCTGTTGTTCAGGCAATTAAAGTTCTTAGTCCTCCCATCAAGATGAGATTGGCTTTGGAGGACTGAATTATGCCAACCTCGCTCACAAGGGACTTCTTACAAACAGAAATGTCTCCTAAGCTGTGGTGTGGCTAAGTGGTGGAACACATGCCTGGCACAAATGAAACCCTAGGTTCACGCCTCAGAACTGGGGGTGGGGTGGGGGACATATTCCACAGTAGCTAGTATACATGAAAGTTCCTAAATTTTTGCTTGCAAAGTCCCAAGCTACAAACACTACGTAAGCCTGTAAATGTCAATATGCGCATACAGACAAATAAAATGTGCTATGTCTATACAGTGAGTTATTTCTTAGCAATGGATTAGAATTAAGCACTGATACTCATAGCAGTGTACATAAATTCCAAAGTCATTGTGTTAAGATTAAAAGAAACCAAATACTAAAGGGTAAATGTTACATGACTGTTAGTTTACTATTCTATAAAGTGCAAACTCATACAAAATGGGAAGTCAGTGTACTTGCTTGGGATGAAGGGTGGAGAGTTGAAGGTGAAGGGAACCTTTGGTGAGTGCCATTAATATTCTTTAACTCTATTGCAGCTACAATACCATGGCCATGCTCCTATGCCAGAACATGTAGGGTTGACTACGTTACATGGACACAGTTTCCTGTATAGAATGTACACTTGAATACAGTTGATAAAAATGAACAAATTGACGTATGCCTTTAATCCCAGCACTTGGGAGGCAGAGGCAGGCAGATTTCTGTGAGTTCGAGGCCAGCCTGGTCTACAGAGCAAGCTCCAGGACAGCCTCCAAAACAATACAGAGAAACCCTGTCTCGAAAAACAAAAAACAAAAAACAAAACAAAACAAAACAAAACGAAAAAAACAAAAAACACTAATTGTTGCATATATGTATGAAGAACAACTAGTAGATATTTTCCCAAATTTGTCATTTGTAGAAATGTTCATAAGATAATGTAGGATAATGTATTTTGTAATGTAATTTGTAATCAGTTCTATTTAATTATGTGTGAAGTAAGACTAATTGTGACTTAATTACTAAGACTGAATGGTGGGTTGGAGTTCCTAGGGAGGATTTTATGTTTCAGCTTGCATTGAAAAAAGATTTATTTCTGGGCAGTGGTGGTGCACACCCTTAACTTCAGCACTTTGGGGCAGAGGCATGCAGGCAGTTTAAGGCCAGCCTGGCCTACATAGTGAGTTCCCTGATGGCCAGGGCTACAAAGAGAATCACTGTCTTGAAAAACAGGGGGAAAAAACTTCATCTTATTTTAAAGTATATGTGCATATTTGTGAATGCAAACCACCTGTGTGTTAGTACCTGAGGAGGCCAGAGGCATCAGATTCCTCTGGAGCTGGAGTTCCAGGCAATTGTGAATCACTTGACATGGGTTATAGGAATTGAACTTGGGTCTTCTGGAAGAGTAATACACTCTCCAATGCCCTGGTTTGCATGTTTTTATTCTTGGAAGCTTGAAATGTAGGACAAAACATTTCTCTACTTCCCAGATTAACAATTTTAATTTAGGAATTTGTGTTAAAAGGGCAATCCACCATAATGTCTGAGAACAGTGGTTTTCAACCTTCCTAATGCTGTGGTCCTTTAATACAGTTCCTCATGTTGTGGTGACCCCAACCATAAAACTACTTTCATTGCTATTTCATAATTGTAATTTTGCTGCTGCTATGAATTGTAATGTAAATATCTGATATGCGATACCCAAAGGGGTCATGACCCACAGGTTGAGAACTGCTATCCTAGACTGTCAGAAACCTGGGAAAAAATGCTGTGAGTGAGCTTTTCATTACATGTGCTATCTTGAAAACAAAAGCAGGCTTCTTTATCTTACAGTTTTGGAAATTCAAGGGCATGGAACCTGAGTTGGCTCAGTTATGGTGAGGGTCCATGGCTGATGGTGAGATGGAGTGCATCTTTGGAAGGAGCCACATCTTGAGCAAAGAATGAAAGAATAGGAGGGACCGCTGTTGCTCTCTTTGTTAAGATGTTCTCACAAGACCTCCTGAGGATTGTGGGAGAATCCCCCGCTAGGTTCTGGAAGAACCACCACACCCTCTCGGGGATCTAGGGACATCCCAATGCGCCCACCTGCCACCTCCTGTCGGCCTAATCTACAGTCACAGTGGGCTTTTGGAGGACTTTCTTTTAAATGGCCCCTCACTCCCACTCCCACCCCATGTCCCCCCCCCCCCACTGTTTCTCTTCAGATACAGGCAGGCATTCCATGGATATCAGTGAGCCATGGCATATCAAGCTGAAGTGATTGCAGGCACCCTCTCCCCCACCAAAGTTGGATGAGGCTATCAGGCAGCAGAGTCAGAGACATCCCTTCTCTCACTGCTAGAAGTCTCATGCATCTCTCTCTCTCTCTCTCTCTCTCTCTCTCTCTCTCTCTCTCTCTCCTTTCCTCCCTTTTTGTTGTTGAGGCAGGGTTTCTGTCCTGAACTTGCTTTGTAGACCAGATTGGCCTCAAACTCAGAGATCCTTCTGCCTCTGCCTCCTGAGTGGTGGGATCAAAGGCGTGTACCACCACCGCCTAGCCCTTTGGAGGACATTTAAACCATAAATATGTGATACTAGTAATATGACTGAAGACACCATGATAAATTTTTATGATGTAATATTGCATGAAACACAAAATTTTGTACAAAAAAAATGACAGCATAGTTTGTGATACCTGCTGATGTCCAAAAATTGCAGGCTGAAAGACAATATGCTCTTAATATATTTTTAAGTTTTATATAAGTAAATTATGTGGTATAAATAATAATAAATATTATTCTAATTATATGAGTATAGATAAAGAGTGGAAGGTTATAGATCATAATTTATATTTTCAGAAGCCCCTTTTTGGCAATTGAATTTGTCTTTGTTTGTTTGCTTGCTTGTTTTTCAGGACTGTGTAGCACTAGGCTGCTCTGGAACTCTCTGTAGACCAGGCTGGCCTTAACCTCACAGAGATCACCTGCTTCTGCCTCCCAAGTGCTAGGATTAAAGGCGTGAACTACTGCCTGCCTGAATTTGTCTTTTTTTAAAAAAAATAACAAATATTGATTATTTTGACTCTAATATTGTAATAACAGAGTGATATAAAATTTCATTGTAAAATAATTTGCTACATATTATTAGATTTCGTTATTGGTTAAAGCTTGGTGGATAGCTCCCTGCTTGTCATTCAAGTTGTGTCTCTATAATATCTAGTAAAGATCAGAATTGATTCATAAAAAGAGAAAGATTTCAGGAATTTCTATATTTTCTATACTTTGTTTGGAGAGGATGTGTTACATTTAAACCCGAAGTTCATCATTTAAGCACACTGACTTCTGAGTGGCCACGTGGTGCCCCCGAGTAAGATGGACGCAGCTGGGATGCTTCTGGGAACTTCGTGTGAAGCCCTCACTGCGGATGTTTGCTCTGCATTTCAAACTCTATTTCTAATTGCAGTTCTCGAGCATCTTCAAGTGCAGAAGTGATTATACGGAGTGGTAAGGCTCGGGCTTGCCCTTGTGTTTCCTGGGGACAGGGATAAAGAAAGGCCTTTTCTGGGGGTACGTTAACCTCACTGGTGTAGTTTGAGCCAGAATCCCTCCTGGAAAAATCCTTTAAAGTAGGACATTTTAAATGATAAGCCCAAATAGGATATAGACAAGTGATTGGCTCCTTAGCATCATTCAACTGTATTAACCATCTGCTAGCATCAGCCAGCCTTGGTACTCACATCATCATTTACTTGACAGGCCAAGAGAATAGCGGAGAGATGAAGCCAGTCCAGAATTTCACAATACCCATCACACAGGTATGACTGTCGGACACTATCCTTTAACCTAAATAACATGCACACTTTTTAATGCTTTCAGAGCTACTATGAAATATATACACAATAGTTACAATAATTATTGGCACAATCTCACTTGAACTCTGGGAAGCTGAGAAAAACATACAGTTCTTGATTTTACTTACACTCTCTTATTTCCATCACAGTATTCCATTGTATGGTTTTCCCACAGGAACTGCAGCAAGTGCAACTTTTATTACTTACTGCTCCCTCTTATCCAGTTTTCCTTTCATTTGCATTTACACTAGAATAATCGGCCTCCTCTTTGTGTTGTACTTTAACTACGTAATAGCATATACACATTATTACAGGATGTGAGTTGACCTTTTTATCTGTAGGGAGTCTTTGACCCTAAGGGCACACATTTATCTCTTAAAAATTCTTTCATTTGGCTAATTAGACTTCCAACTACAATCTGAGCAAGACCCATTGGAGTGCATTCAGTCATCACAATCCTGTGAAGTTCTCCAGGGATGGAGTCCCCTGCATCCTCTTCTGGACTAGAAGAATCACAGTCAAATTCAAGAATCAGACCTGGCTGGACCTCACAGATGAAGCACCCGGTCAAAACACAACAGTGGACACTGGCAGCTCAAGCTGTGATGGGGAAAGAGCCATGTAAGTCAATCTTTGCGGCTGAAGAAGCCTTCCGGGTACTGCACGCGTTCGCTGTGGCAGACTGGAGCTTCCTTTGACATCTAAATGAAAGAGCAAGTCACAAGTTAACTTAAAGAACACTTTATTGGTTCTTTGAGAGTTTTGTGCAACTTGCTTTGATCATGTTCACCACGGACTCTTCCCAGACCCACCCCTTCTACCTAGTCTTCCATCCAGCCACCTAATTTTGTGGCACTTTCTGTGGGGGTTTGAATGTAATTGGTCACCATAAGTTCATAGCGGGTGGCATTATTAGGAGGTGCAGCTTTGCTGGAGTAGGTACGGCCTTGTTGGAGGAAGTGTGTCACTGTGGGGGTGGGGAGGTCTCATATATGCTCAAGCAACACCTAGTGTTGAAACTGCTTCCTGCCTGCTGTCTTCGAGTCATAGGACTCAGCTGCCTCTCTATCAGCAGGCCTGCCTGCATGCTACCACATCTCACTGGGATGATAATGGACTAAATCTCTGAAAATGTAAGCCACCCCAGTTAAAGGTTTTTCCTTTATAAGAGTTGCAGTGGCCATGGTGTCTCTTCACAGCAATAAGAAACCTTAAGACATTTTCTCTTTTCTTTTTTACCAGCAAGACCAATTTTGGCTGCTGAGTTCCAGTAGAGAGTGGTTGATTCCTTTTTTTTCTCCTGTGGGTTTTGAAAATGAGAATTTCCAATTCATTCTAAAAAGGGAGGAAGGAAGAAAAGGGAGGGAGGGAAGGAGGAGGGAAAACTTTAGTCTAAATTATATGCATAGATGTTTAGAAGGACGTTTGATAAACAACAGTACTACATTTCACAGTGGACTTATGATGTCCCAGATTGTTAGCTGGGCTAACACGTTCCTCCCCCAAATCAAAGGGCAGCTAGTTACCTTCACAATAGTCATACCAGTACTGCTCAAGTAGGCACGTCTTGCCTAGTGGGTTGGCCTTTTGGTTGCAGCGTTCACAGCTGAGTTAGACTAAAGAAACATCTACCTCCTGAGTATCCAGCAGGACACTCTCTCGTGCTTTTTAAGCTAACCAGACAGTAGGAAGGTTTCCAGCTAGGCTCTAGATTTTCTCTGTATCTTGCAATGGAGGTGTATGATGTGTCCTGCAATTTGCTCTTATTTTTTGATCATGGTAGGCAACCAAGAACACTGACAAGGCCTGTATTGTTTGGAGGTAGAAGAAAGGAAGAAAGAGTGGAAAGAAGGAAGGAAGGAAGGAAGGAAGGAAGGAAGGAAGGAAGGAAGGAAGGAAGGGAGAAAAGAGGTTAGGCTTGGCCTCAACTCAAAATGCTGAACTTCTCATGAAAGAACTTATATTGCACAGCAGGGCACACATGTCTTACTGGGTTACTCAGGACCAATCTTTGCCTCTAGGTGGTGTGTTTGGACTTGGTGAGAGATTCTCAAATTATAGAATGCGGTCTATTCCAGTTTGTGTGTGAGAGGACATTTGGTCAAATTTCAGTCAATATTTTGGGCATTGGAGTGTGAGCAGAGCGATTAGTTTTGGTTTGAGATGAGCGGATTAAGTAAATGTGCCCACCGAGAACAGATCACTTTGAAAGCCATTCTCTGCTTTTCAGGCATCTGAGAACATTTTCCCCCTGTTACTTGCCTAGGAAGAGGAAATCTGAAGTGTTCCTTTTATGTTCTACAAATCCCCTGTTCAATATTTGTTGGTACAATGGGTGCTTTTGGAAGACTCTGACTTTTGTTCTCGCCTGTGAGGATATTTTGTATGAACTGTAACATATGCATGCACACCTGTGTGCATTCTTGTTACACTTTACATGGTTTGACTGGAATTGCCGGTTTATTCCTGAACTCTGTTTCTTGTTTAAAGTTCTTGAGGATGGGTGAAAATGGATGTACTGGTATATCCGTAAAAGGGATATTATGCAGTCTCCATGTCGTGTGCTTCAAATGACCGTCTCCTAATAGGGACTTAAGGAATTGTAATAATTACAAGATTTAGGGAATTGTGAAGAATCCGTCATCCACATTTGTTTCTGTTGTTTAAGCACAGCTATGAAGGCCTATGGGAGGGATGCCCACACTGCTGAGGGCTCAGGCCTTCTTTTCCCAGGCTCTAATTAATTCCCTACAGGCCTCTTGATTTGTGGTCAGCTGCATGGAGAGATGCTGATTGCCTGGGGTGAGCTTGCTTGCCCAGGGCTGGCTGCGGTTCCATTTAGCCTGACATTAGGGGGTTGTGGGAAGAACCAGGGCAGCACAGCTTTTTACTGGGCTGTGGAGAATTTAGTCATCAGTGGAAACTATGCGTGGAGAAAAACAAAAACTTGTCTTGCAGGCCCAGTTCTGCCAGAGAGCTGTGTGCCTTTAGGACCCAGGGGTTGTCTCATATGAGATGGAAAATGTAGCAACTATCCATTGTAGCTGACGGCCTTTGTGCCTTTACCACACGCCACGGCTGAGGAGGTCTCCTGTCTGGTGGTCACCACAGTGGCTCTCCTTTAGGTCATAAGGAATTCAGGCTGAGTGAGACTAGGAAACTTACAAGAGTCTTGCTGGGGTTCTAAAGTGTCATTAAAGGGGACATGTTAGCACCTTCCTCTTGACCTTATCTCACAGGATTTTGAAAAGCAGATGAGGAAATGTAAGTATATGGTTCAGAGGACTTGTCAAGTGCTGTTCAAAGAAGTGCAACTTTCTTTTTAACACCAAAAAGAGTGGAACACAGTGCTGTCTAACCCTGCTGGAGAGGCCTTGGGGGCTGGTTGCTGCTCCTCTGTTTTTAAATAATTTTTTATATCTGTGGGTGTGCACATGTGTGTTCGGGTGCCTGCGGAGGCGACAAAAGGGTGCTGGAGTCCCTGAAGCTGTTGTTAGCTACCTGACGTGGGTGCTGGGAACTGAACCCTAGTTCTCTGGGACAGAATCAAGTGCTCTTAGCCGACTTTTTACAGTGTACACATGAGATATTGGGCAGGCACTGATACTTTATCTTTCTGGTCACCTCCCTAGAAATATACTCAGGTGTGAGCCCAGACTGGGCAACCCCTGACTCCTGCAGTCCTGCTCAGATGAGATGCAGGCAGCTTGGGAGTACCCCACTCAGAGAGCAGACCAGAGCGCGTGCACGCGCGGGTGTGTGTGTGTGCTTCTCAGGAAGTGAGGGGTTTAGTTCCAGCTGCTTAGAACCCCTGATACTGATCCCTGTGAATTATGCAGAACAATGAGATAGATGCCTTTGGTGTGCCTGTGAGGGAACTCTTGTGCCTGATTGAACCAGAGTCGGAACGGCTGCAAGAGCAAACCCACGCGGAGACATAGCCATGTAAAGTCAAAAGCCCAGATTGAAAAAAGATGACCATGCTTCAGCTTTTGGAAACAAAATGCTCAGGGAGAGGCAAATTTGGCAGGCAGATTTGCTATGGAAGTCTTTTTAAATAGTGAAAGCCCTGCAAATAGAACACAGTCCCCGCATCTGTGCGCATTTTGAGGTCGGGCATTTATAGCTCGAAGAATTCAGGGTCTGTTTTAAATGTGTAAGAATGGGGCACTGGCTGAGTTCCTTTTCTCACTCTTGCTCTGGGTTGTATCCATTTTTGTGTTCCTGTTGCTGTGTGGCATCCAGCACCTACAAGATCCTGGCTGAGCAAATGGTGAATTAGCTTTGTTGAAATCTGGCCTCAGACTCGTTCCTACAGAGCCTAGGGGGCTTTCAAGCTTCTGCCAAACCAAGCCTGCTGGGGAAAAGTCCCCGTGGGTCGCTTCTGGGACCTGGCCAGAAGCTTGAGGGAAGACTTGAAATGGCTTTGCTCTGGAGTTTGGTTCATTAGATCAGAGCAAGCTTCTACATGAGGAAGCTAGTGTGATCCATCAGAGGAACTAGAGAGATCTTAGAGTGAAATAGTAGGATATAATTTCCTTCCGTCCGTCCGTCCGTCCGTCCGTCCTTCCTTCCTTCCTTCCTTCCTTCCTTCCTTCCTTCCTTCCTTCCTTCCTTCCTTCCTTCCTTCCTTCCTTCCTTCCTTCCCCATAAACAGTGTTACTACAGAGTTCTGTTTCTTAGAAGTAGGTCAAGCTGAGGAAATCATGGCATGCTCAATACTATTTCATTCTCAATACTATTTGCTTTTGCTCTCTTTGGTGTCTTAAGTCATATTAAGGTGTTCTGACTTCTAGATATGTTATTGATATAACTGCATCATTATTTGTATATTCAAATTTCTTTTGCTTTCCCATTATAAACACTTAGTTCATCATTCTTATATTTCTAATCCTACTTGGAAATATGAATGAAGAATAACAACTTGCACAAATTCAAAGTGTATCTTGTGGTCAGTTGTCACATATACATACACACACGTAATACTGTCACCACAACCAAGACCACGACCACTTTGATCATGCCTAAAATATACTTGTTACCCTTTGTAATCCATCGCTTTGATCACTACCACATCTCCAGGTAACCATTGGTTTAGTTCCTATCATTCAAGATTAATTTATGTTTCTTAGAATCTTATGTAAATATAGCATATAGTGTGTTCTTTTTTCTAGTGTGGCTTCTTTCACTTAACATAGTGACTTAGGCAATTTCTGTGATCAATGCAATATTCTTTTTCACTGCTGAGCAGTATTCCATTGTGTGAGTATATTGCAACATAATTATCCATTCACCCACTGATATAAGTTTGCCACTTCCCTGTATGTAATTTGTCTGATAGTTATGAATATTTTTGTTTGAGTCTTTGTGGCAGAATGTGTTTCATTTCTGAGTTATTTTCCATATAGAAGCAGAAAGGCCAAATCATATTATTTAGGCATTGTGCGGAACTGCTAAATTTTAATTTTAAAAACTTTTAAGATCTTTTGGGTCACACACTGTAGTCTAGCTAGCTCAGAATGTATTACGTAGTATAGTGTGACCTTAAGATCATGGTAATTTTGCTGGCGCCATCTCCCTAGTGATTGTATTAGAGGAGTGCAACATCGAACCTGACTCCAAACTTTAAAAAAATGAACCCCTATTTTTTTGGGGGGGCACTGCCTTTTGTATTCCATGTTGGCTTCAGATTTTCTCCGTACCTGAGGCTGGCCTTGAACTCCTGATCCTCCCACCTGTACCTCCTGGGTGGGTAAACGCCTCCCACCCAGTGAAGATCAACTGTTTTGCCTTCCCAGCAGGATTACACACTTGCTCCATGTCTTCTTCAGTGTGAAGTTGTAGAGAGAATCCTTTTATAAAAATTTTGTGTGGTTAATACTTTCTGAACAAATTCACTGGCCTTGGGCTAAAGGATAAGCTTTGGGGTTAGTAAGAAAGTTATGTCTGAGGGCAATGTTTCTGGATGGCAAAGGGCTGGAGAACCACAGGGACACATCTTCCTGCTGGAGATATTTATGAGATATAAATCTTAAATGTGCAGCCATTCATGTCATTCATGGTAAACCAGCTGCTTCCATCCAGAGGTTGATGAAATTCTGGCACTTACCTCCAGGTTAGCAGCCCAGGATCTCATTTCTTCTCTTCACAAGGAGACTCTGTCAACACTGAGGGAACAGATGTTTTTCTGTCATATTCAGGAGGTGAGGAAAGGGCCACCAACTCTCCACATAAGCTCCGGTCTTTGACGTCCATTATAAAACCCAGATCCCAGTATGGGCAGTCTGATGTCTGGCTCTCATTGTGCTACCCAGGGGGATGAACTGTGTCAAGAGGAGAACTAATACCATTGTTCCTGACTCTATAGTTAATCTATCTCTGGCCCTGGAAAACTAGTATTTACCTTCAGAAAAACATGCGTGAATACAAGTTACCAAAAGCTTGTGAGTTCTGCATGTGAGACATTCTAATCATTCTGTTTGTTTTTCTATTATGTGTAAATGTGTTTTTATTTTATGTTCTCCTAATACCTAATAATGCTGAGCTTATTTTAAATTTTATGGTATTTTGACTCTTTCTTTCTGTGTGTGTTTGTCCACTTGTGTGCAGGTGTGCCGGTGTCCTCAAACCATGATGTCTGGGTGGAGGTTGGAGGACAACCTGCAGGGATTGATTCTCTCCTTCCACTATGTGGGTTCCAGACATTAATCTCAGAACTCAGATCATCGGGCCTGGAGACAGGTGCCACCACCAGCTGAGCTGTCTTTCGGTCTGAGCCATTCCTCTTTTGATAAACTATGTTGTTTCCATTTTCTTAGGTTGTCTTTAAGGTTTGGTGATGCTGGAAATCCCAAGGATATTGACATAAGGTAGGTAGTGTTATTGTTTCAGCATGTTAGCTATAACATGCTCTACTTAATTTATTCACTTCCCCTGTGAGTGCCAAGCATGTACCTTTCCTGTGACACATCAAACCCACATCTAAATACACTGAGAGGCTAGTGGTCATGTCTGATGGAATTCTGTAGGAATGTTTTCTATACATCAAAGTTCATACATAGTTTAGTACTCTGAGAAGTCAGTGGTATTGGGTAAGAGGATCCAGTAGGAATGCTTTCTTTATTATTATTATTATTATTGTTACTATTATTGAATTCTTTTTATAACCACTATCAAAACACCTCTACTCCTCACTTTCTTCAGAATACGTGAACTGAGAACCCAGAACAAACACTAACATTGAGTAAACTCCAACAGGTTTCAGGCTCTGTTTTAGGGTCACTCATTATAGCTTCTTATAAGAATCACTGGATTTGACTACAGTGGAGAAATCTTTGCTATCAGAGTTCCCCAGGAGACAGTCAATATGGGCCTCCATTTTTCTCTGCTTGTGATAGAAGGATGCACCTACCAATAATGATTTATCTTGGCAGCCAGTGCTCAACAAATTGGAAGGCAAACAATTTTGTTTTTGTGTTGGGTGGCACATCCTTTTAAACTCAGCACTCTGGAGGCAGAGACAGGAAGATTTCTGTTAGCTTGAGTAAACATAGTAAGTTCCTGGCCAACCGATGCAATACGATAAAACCTTGTTTCAAATTGTTTTATTTCTCATAAAAATGTATCAGTAATTTTCTCAGTAGTTGGTAATCAAGAAATCTGAAGGCATATTATTTTTCCTCAAGAATTCAGTGCATGGGCTGGGGAGATGGCTCAGTCAGTGCAGACAGAATGACCTAAGTATGATCCCCAAAAACCATGCTAAAAAATCTGGGTGTGGTGTTATTGCTTATAACACCAGTGTTGGGAAGGTGGGGACAGGTGGCTATAGAAGCCAGTGAGAGACTCTGTCTCAAAGAAAAAAAGAAAAATGGTGGGCAGTGCCTGATGAACAACACCGGTGGTTGTCCTCAGGCCTACACATGAACACACACACACACACACACACACACACACACACACACACACACACACACACACTCACTCACACCCCAAAGCTTTCCTTCCTATAGGATGAACTTTTTTGTGGAGATGAGCACTTTTGTCTTCAACTTTCCTTGGAAAACCAGTAGGGTGAGTCAGAACGGCACTCTCTCCTACGCTGTGTGCTCTATGGTACTCTCTGGTTATGTGGAAGCATTTATGAATCTCCAATAAAAGGTTCTGTAGGCAGACTTGTTTGAGAGTGACTACCTGCCCTGCCTTTCTCTCAGAAGTTCACATCATAACTTTATTTATTCAAAAGACGAAAAGCTAGAAAATACTTCTGTAAATCATCATCATCATTATCACCACCATCATCACTTAGGAAAAAGGTATGTGGCATGCATGTCCATACTCCATGTCTACTTGGATCTTACGTTTGGAGAGTAGTCGAACTCATCTTGCCCATCTGCCCATTCTCTTGCCCTAAACACCTTTCTGGCCAAAGAAGACCATGCTGGCTAGTTTTCATTGACACAGAGCTAGAAATATTTGAGCAGAGGGAGTCACAGTAGAGAAAATTCCTCTCCTGCAAGTCTGGCCTGTGTGCAAGGCTATTGGGCATTTTCGAACTTCTTACTTAGTGATTGCTGTGGGGGAGCCCAGCCCTTTGTAGGTGGTGCCACTTCTAAGCAGGTGGTCCCGGCTTCACTAAGAAAGCAGGCTGAGCTAGCCATGGAGAGCGAGCCAGTAGACAACATTCCTCCATGCCCTCTGCATCAGCTCCTATCCCCAGGTTTCCACTTTGTTGAGTTCTTGCCTTGATTTACCTCAGTGATGACGGTTATCCAGGAAGTTACCTCCTCAAGTGATGCTTTTTATCACGGCAACAGAAGCCCTAGCTGTGATGGTTTAAAGTGTATTAACATGCAAGCCTTACCTTGCACGGGTTGTACTGTAGTAGCCCACTGCACTTTTCTCCGGGATGTTGAAGACCATTAAATTGACTGATCTTGTAAAATTTGCTGTTCTAGCAAGATAGTGGCTCATAAAACTAACTGCTATTTCTGCTTTTGTAATCAAACTTGCTTACTCGGCTCAAAAAGATGACTAGGACTCTACAAGATATATATGTTAAAATTAGACCCTGCTGACCCAGAGGCAGACTGCATATAATCTTGTGGGTTTCGTCTTTATGAGCCTTGAGCTGATGTGGCTAGGGTCTACATCTTGAGACTGGTCTTAGGGGCAGTCCTGGCCCCAAATTGGCTGTCAGTATCTAAATATAAGGCTCATCTTTTAAAATGTACTCCTGGTCATGGTGAAGCTCTGAGTGATCCTAGACATATAACACGGACTATACCTTCCATGCTTGTCACAGAAGAGGGTAAGCATACCAGCCTCCTCTTCCCCAAGTGAGGCTACTCAGAAGTGGCTTTTTTTGCCTTGACACCCAGGATTCTCCATTTGGTCCTTATCCACTGTGAAAACACACTTGACATCCTCCCCATTGACAGCCTCCTGTCCACCGCCATTGCTCTTTTCTCCGTTCTATATAGCTGAATGACCGAATCCTTACATTCATATCTTTGTCTCAGGGTCTGCTTCTACAGGAGCACAAAATAAGATAAAGGAAACCCATGAAAACAGAAAAAAAATCAGAAATATTGAGCCATAAGGATAAGAAAATAAGCCAGGCAGTGGTGGCACATGCCTTTAATACCAGCATTTGGGAGGCAAAGGCAAGTAGATCTCATGAATTTGGGGCCAACCTTGTCTACAGGGCTACATAGAGAAACCCTGTCTTGAAAAAACAAACAAACAAACAACAACAACAACAAGGATAAGAAAATAAAAGTAACTGATAATCCATCCCACATTTGCAATTGCTACTGATGTTTTGATCCCATCATTCTTGACTTTTGTTCTATGTAATAGATCATTTTTTAAAGCAGACAGTTGTCATGAGCTGTATCCACCGACTGTTTTTGCCATCAGAGACTTTTCCACCTCAGAGCTGTTAGCAGTGACGGTGCTGGTCTCATGTTGCATCTGAAGACAACTAAACATGACATTTTGAGAGAAACGGGGAGAGGCATTTTTCTCCTCTGGGCTCAGTTCCTCATAGGTGACACCAGGGTAACAATATTGTCTGTCTCATAGCGCGGCAGTAAGCTGAAGTAAATACACACGAGTAACAAGTGTGGCTGGCACAGAAGAAAGCCATTACTACTATTTATGACAATTCTATGTTAATGTACATCTAAGTTTTAATCAAATTTGTGGCAATGATAAACATACACTTTGATTCTTAGAAAAGAAAAAACCTGCCCCCCCCTCACCTTTGTAGGATTTTCGTATTGCTCTTTTCCTGTTGGCAGTCACTAACAACAGGCTCTTGTTTGGCGCCAAAGGGAAGCCTCTCCCCAGTTCGAGTCCACAGCCTGACAAAAGAGGGCGCCATTGTACCGTTCACAGATGACGCTCTGCAGAGCTGGGGCTAACACTAATGTTCAATCCTTTTCAGGTTCACCCTAACCAATTACAACAAACTGTCCAGCCAGAGTTGGTTTAGTTTACACCGAGTCGAGATCATTTTCAACAACTCAGTGCAAGCAACTTTTAATGCAACTGGCATATATGCTCTGTCGAGTTACTCCTATCGCTGCCAGCGAGTCAGCAGCCTGCGGAACGATGCTCTACTGTTGCTTAGCAGCTCTGACGAAGTGACAAGCCTGTGGGAGGTCACGTTTATTGATTTCCAGGTAACAAACTAAAGCATATGCTTGACACGCCCACATACTTGGTGTCAAAGAAACTCGGTGTTTGTTGAAGTCACCAAAAAACAAGATGTTTAAAGGAGGCGTCTCTACGGTAGCATTGGCTCGTTTGGGCTCTTCTGAGGTAGGAGATGGAGCAGGATGGTGAAGTTCTCCCACCCGAGCCCTCCAGGAGTTTTACTTTCCTGTTTACCCACTCACCAGGTACTTATCTAAACCCCAGTGCAGCTGTGGCTGAAGCCTGGTGACTGACACTTCCTGGGCCCAGAGACTCTGTGGGCAGAGGCTCTTCAGGGTAATTGCTTTATTCCCTTCTGAGAGTAAGGCAGTGATCTTATCAGGGCAGATAAGAAGTACATCTGCGGTGGGAACAACAGCGTTGACAGCAAGGGAATGGAATCATCCACCAGTCAAAAATAGCCCAGAGATCTTGAAAACCTTGGGAGAAAGGCATGGGAATGTGACAGGCACTTTTACGCCCCAACATCCCAGAATCCTCTCCGGATGAGGGACGTTCTATCAAGTCCCTCTATCTTGTTTACCTGTGACCAGTGCTTACTCACTGAGGTAGCAGGCATGGCTTTGTGTGTCCTGTATAAGGGCGTGTTCCCGCTTTTTCCATCTATACATGGGTATACGTAGTCGTGTATATTCCTCTCTGCTCGGGGGAGGTAGTGTTGGCAAAAGGCCAAGGGGAAGGGAAGGACGTGCATTTTGGAGTGAGGCAAACCTGATTTGAAAATCACTCTTCTGCTTCACCGTTAAGTTACTTACCCTTGCCAATTTCTGCCCTGTCTTCATTAATGCAGAAGATGCATGCATGGCCTCATATGTGTGAAACAGGACCGTTCCAGGCATGGAGTAGCAATACCACTTATGCTAGCATATGTTAATGGTTAAGACAACACATGCTATGTTATGTGTATATTGTGACCAAAATAACGAAACAAAACACATGGGCAAAGCCCAGGGGTGGGAATTTTCAAGTGGAAGGAAAGGGAGAGAGGACCAGGCATGACTCCTAAGCCACCAGTGAGATTGATTTACAAACCCACAGGATTAACCTCTCTGCTGGCTTGATGAGGCACAGTGATTTTGATTCCAAGCTTTGGAGCAGCAGCATAAGGAAAACACACTCCAGCATAAGGAAGACACACTCCAGCATACATTCACACGCCCCCAAGACTCCAGAGAGCTCGCTGTGAGGAGCACAGTCCTCTCCTGGGCTATGCAATGTGTATGCATGACATCAGTCTCCCCACAGGAAATGTGTATCCTCGCCTGGTGGAAGCACCTAGAATGTAAACAGAGGCAAGAAAGCAAGGTCAGGCCAGGGGAAAGGAGTGTTTGAGGAAGACCACGTTAACACTGCAGGCTTGCTGGTCTTTCTTACAGAAAAAACATCTGTCCCTCGGCCAACCCAAATTCCTCTCATGGGCACCAAATCCATCCCTTACATAAAATGGCATGGTATTTGCCTATAAGCTGTGTACAGCCTTCTATGGTAGGGACATGAGGAATAGAGAAAGAAGACACCAGAAGCTCTGGAGTCATAAACTGAGTCCAGGTTTCCCAGGCATAAATTTTGTCATCACACATTTTCTGCTGTGATTCCAGGTGAGTTGCTGACCTTTGCTGAGCCTCAGTTTCTTAAGTCATAGTAAAAAAGTCCCTTGCTCAGAGGCTGTCATGAAGGCTAAATCGTGTATCTGGTGTACACAAAACCTTCGAGTGTGTGTTTCTGTTTGTGATTTTTGCCGTGTCAGGACTCATGTTCCCCCCAAGAGACGCCATCTAACTCCTTCCTGTCTGTGTTTTCCAAGGCTGAGCTTCTCAGACCCAGAGCATCCTTGAGTTAGAGATACAGGCCAGTGTGGTTTTACACGAACTCAAACAGTCCTAAGACTACAAGAAGTTTTGTTCATTCTTGAGTTGCAGGAGACTTAGTTGCCACAGCGTATCCATCTCAAAATGTTTGGTTGGTTTTGCTTTGAAAATCAAGTTTCAAGCCAGGGGTAGTAGCTCCGGTCGGTGATGCCGGAACACACGAGGCTGAAGCAGGAGGAACGCAGGGAGTTTGGGGTCGACTGCGCTACACTGTGTGAGCCCTCAGACAAAGTTTTACTGTCCCAATAAACAGAATCACAGTTATTAGATCAGGTGCTTAAATTATTCTACAATTCGGTGGTGGTAAGGGCACTAGTGCCCTTCCCATTGCTTGGTAAAATACCCAACTAAAGCCTCTTTGAGGGAGAATACTTCTTTTGGGTCACAGATTCAGGTCCGAGCCCATCATTCCAGGCAGCCATGGCAACTGAAACGTGAGGCAGCCAGCCACTGCCACAGTCAAGAACGTAACTGCGTGCATGTCACTCGGCTCACTTCACGTTTACACAGTCTGGGACCTATACCCAGGGAATGGTGCTATCCACAGTGGGCTGGGTCTTACAACACCAATTTACATAATTAAGACGATCCTCCCCCACAGACTTGTCCACGGGGAATCTGACAAACATTTCCTCACTGACGCTCTTTTCTTCGGTGGTTCCAGATTCTGGGGTTGACAGTGAAAACTAACCACAACATATAAAATTTGGTTAACTGGAGCCCAGAATCACCAGCACACTGAGGACTGACTCTCAGGCGGAAGGCATAGATTACTTCTGCTCTTCTCTTTCTCTGGACAGATCCAAGGCTTCTCCATCAAGGGGGCACAGTTTGCCCAGGCCCGAGACTGTGGCCCTGCCTTCTCGCCGGCGGTTCTCATTGGCCTGGCCATGTCTCTGATACTGTTGCTGGTGCTGGCCTATGCCCTGCACATGCTCATCTACCTGCGCTATCTGGACCGGCACTATGAGTTCATCACGTCTCCTGCCCACTTCCCACCGCTGAGAGAGTTGGAATCAGGGGAGGAGAAGGAGCTGCTGGGAAGCCAGGGAGCTGAGTGCTACGAGCTGAGGAGCCAACAGATCTGCAAAATCTACATTTAGCAGCGCAAGTTTCTGTTTCCCCACCAGGGCGGCAACAGCGTCTGAAAGACATCGTTTTCTTCCGTGCTGTCTGACTTGTGAATTGTTTGATTAAAAAACAAAACAAAACAAAAAACAAAACAAAACAAACAAACAAACAAAAAAACAACAAAGGAAATACTTCAGCCACGAGTTGGTTTTTAGCCCCTACTGGTTTTGCTAGGTAGACCTGGAGTAGTGAAAAGCTATCTCAAGGGACCCCACAGGGTCTGATCAGCAGGGCTGATGTCTTGAGCATAACAAGGAAAGAGAGAAGGGCAGCATGCTGCCAGTTTTATACCCACTTGACGCACACGCTATAGTCATTGAGAGGAGGGACCTCAACTGAGAAAACGCCTCGGTAAGACTGAGCTGTAGGCAAGTGGGTAAACCTTTCCTTAATTAGTGATTGGTGGGGGAGGGCGCAGCCCATGGTGAGCGGCACCATTCCTGAGCTGGTGGTCCTGGGTTCTGTAAGAAAGCAGGCTGAGTAAGCCGTGAGGAGCAAGCCAGTGAGCAACACCCCTCCACGGCCTCTGCATCAGCTCCTGCCTCTAGGCTCTGCCTCCCCATGCTGCTCAGTCATGGTGTTTCATTACAGCAATAGGGACCCTGGCAAAACAGTGACGGAAGGGGAAAGACAGCAGAAGTTCAGATCTTTAAGTGTTTTGTAATAATTTACACCTCCCCCCCCGCAGGAATTACATTGTAGTTTTATTTTTAAAAGCAGTCTTCCTTTTCTCTCTTAACTAGAGCTGCTTCCGGAAATCTGCTGTCAGTCTGTGGCAGGGCCTTGTACTCTTAAGCTGTCAAGTCAAGGGCTTTGTCATTCACAAGCAGCAGGGCCTCAGCTGCGTGGTAAGGGCGACAGTCATGCCCTTTTCTGTCTGGCTGTGAGCCCGGGCTGGCCTCATTGTCGCGCAGCAGACTTCTGTAGGCTACCATGCACATCCGTGAAACAAGCAATCCAGAGGATGCCCAGGGTGCATGCTGTGCAAACGCTGCTACAGACACACCCTCAGCCCCCCACACTGACAGCGTCCCCTAAACTCCTTAGTGGAAATTCTGGAGCCACCACCACATTCTTACTCCCCTTTCCTCCTCATGGATTCCCCTGCGATCCCCTCCACTTCTTAGAAGATGAGAATGCTGAAGATTGCTTCATTCCCATCTCTCCAGTTTAGGAATGAGCTTTCCTTGTGACAGAGCCGACACTGCATTTTCCTCTTCAGACTGTGCACATGACCTAGGCTTACTAAGAATACCCCTCCGCCAAACTCAGAGAGCACACAAAGGAGTGGCATTGGGGAGGCTGTGGTGACAGGTCCGTTCTCCACTCCTACTTCTGACATGACAGTCTGCTCAGCATTTCTTTTGGCTGCATCATCACTGGTTGAACATAGTTTGGGTCAGAAGGTTGTCACAGTCTGGAAGACGAAACTACTTAATATAAAGTTCCTTTTGTTTGGATATTGGGAGTAGATTCGGTAGTCTGCAGCTGAGACTCCCTATTCATGTCGCTGACACACAGAGAGAACTGCAGAAAAGAGATGCTTGGAAGAGTGGGAACCGAAGATGATCCTTCTGCTCTAGTCTGTTTGAAACCAACAGACTTTCTGCTAACATTTGGCAATGGTGAAACCAGGCCACGCAGTTGAGCTATAAAGGCTAGATTTTCATGTTATTGCCTTGAGTATTCACTGGTGAGACAGGTAGCTTTTTATTGGTTATATGTACAGGAAAAGTAGGTAGTTTATTGCTCAAACCGGGATGCATTGGAAAGTGAAAAGGCATGTCATTGAAGTTCCATGACAAAAGATATGAATGGTGCTAGGTAAACTGAGGTATACCATCAGCCTAGGTATCAGTGATCTCCACGTGTGGTTAGGTGGCTCTTTCTACGTATGCAAGCAAATGAACTAGAGAGCAAATGAAGAGAGAACAGCTGGGCTAGCTTCAGATCTTCATCTCTCCTTCCACTATCCCAAATCCAATCCCTTAGTCTCGCCCCCAGCTCTGTAGCAGACCACCTGATACATCCTCACCTCTATCCGCCACCATCTTCAGCGGATCACACAACTCTTCTCCTTCAACGTTTCTTCCCCCAACTCATCCCATTGTCCCAGCCCCACATTCCAGCAGACATTCTCTGGGAACGCAGCAGCCAACCTGGCCAGAGAAGCAGGGAGATGCACTTCACATCGTCACTCTCCCTTCTCTCCTCCACATTCAGACCCCCAGTCTCATCCCCAGCTCTGCAGCTGACTAGCCATTGTGAACTCTCCTCACTCTCTGCCCCATTTCCTAGCAGATCCTGGTGGAACAACTCACTTTCCTTTCTCCCATGGACTCATTCAGCACCCCCTCTTCCAGTCCATTCCCATTCCCAAGTGTCAGCTTCCAATACCTAGAAACACATTGTCTTAGTTAAGGTTTCTATCACCGTGAAGAGACACCACAACCATAGTAACTCTTATAAAGGAAAAACATTTAATTGGGATAGCCTAAATTTTCAGAGGTTTAGTCCATTGTCACAGTGCACCATGGTGGAGTTGCAGGAGGACACAGAGTTGGAAAAGGAGCCGAGAGTCTTACATCTTGACCTGTAGGCAACAGGAAGTGGTTTGAAACAGAAGGAGTACCTTCAGCATAGGAGATCTCAAAGTGTGCCTCCACAGTGACATCCTTCTTCCAACAAATCCACACCTCCTAATAGTGCCACTCCTAATGAGCATATAGAGGGCAATTACATTCAAAACACACACAAACTGGAACCCCCCCCAGTGACCACACCTATCAGGATCTCCAAAGAATTACCTACCTAGAACACACAGCATTACATCCTCCTAAGACAACCAGAAAGGGCATAAATGAATAAACAAATAAATAAATTAAAAAAGATAGATATCAAAGAACAACACACCCACCCCAAAAGATAAAATCAGATATCAGCACCTAGAATCAAAATCATTCCAAATCCAGAAGCCTAGACATCAGCATAAAAGCATAACCAATAATACACAGGATAATATATCACCAGTAGAGCCTAGCAATTCAACCACAGTAGGCACTGAGAAATGCATTTATGAATATGATAGAGGTCCTTAAAGAGAAAAGGAAAGAAATATAAGAAATAACAGATAGTGTAAAGAAATCAATAAAACAGTTCAAGACCTAAAAGTGAAAATAGAATCAATAAACAAAACTCAAACTGAGGGAACTGTAGAAATGAAAACTTAGGAGCTCAAATGGGAACCTCAGAGGAAAGCCTCCCCAACAGAATACAAGAGATGAAAGAGAGAATCTTAGATACTGAAGACACAATAGAAGAAATGGATACCCCAGTCAAAGAAAATGTTAAATCTAAAAAAAAAAAAAAAAACAAAAACAACAAAAAAAAAAAACTCCAGACACAAAACATCCAGGAAATCTAGGACATTATACCAAGGCTTAATCTAAGAATAACAGGAATAGAGTAAGGAGAAACTCGGGTCAAAGGCACAGAAAATATATTCAACAAAATCCAAAGAAAATTTCCCTAATCTAAAGGACATGCCTATCAGGGTACAAGAAGCTTACAGAACTCCAAATAGATAGGACCGGAAAGGAAATTCTCCTTGGCACATATTAAACTGCTAAACATACAGAACAAAGAAAGAATAATAAAAGTTGCAAGGGAAACAGACCAAGTAACAAATAAAGACAGGCCATGAGAATAACACTGAGATGGAGATTGTAAAAGCCAGAAGGGCCTGGACAGATGTGCTACAGACTCTAAACTATCACAGATGCCAGTTTAGACTACTTTCCAGACAAAACTATTTTAATCACAATAGATGGAGGAAAAAGACATTCCATGATAAATCCAAATTTTAGCAATATTTATGTGTAAATCCAGTCCTAAAGATGGCTCTAAGAAAAACTTCAGCCTGAACAGGTTAACCATATCCAACAAAACACAAGAAATAAATAATCTCAGACCACAGCAACAAAATAGTAGGTATCAACAAACACTGCTCATTGATAATTCAGAGTAACAAAATAGATGGGAAAACAGGATCCATCCTCCTGCTGCATCCAAGAAACATACCTTAACATTAAGGATAAACATAACCTCAGGGTAAAAGGCTGGAAAAAGATAGTCCAAGCAAATAGACCTAAGAAGCAAGCTGGTGTACCCATTTTAATATCTGACAAAATAGACTTCAGACCAAAACTAATTAGAAGAAATATGGAAGGTTACTACATCAAAGGAAAAATCCAAGAGGACATTGTAATTCTTAGCATCTATGCTCCAAATATAAGGGTATCCAAATTTTCAAAAGAAATATTACTGTAGCTTAAATCACATATTGACCCTCACACAGATAGTGGTTGATACCACTCTCACCAATGGACAGGTCATCCAGACGAAAACTATGCAGAGAAATACCGGAGCTAACAGCTTTTTACAGAACATTTTACCTAAACACAAAAGACTATACCTGCTTCTCAGCACCTCATGGAACTTTCTTCAAAACTGACCACATACTCAGTCACAAATCAACAGATACAAGACAATTGAGTAATTCCCTGCATCAATAAAGATAGAAATCTTACAAATCCACGAAAACTGAACAACTCACCACTGAACAAAAAAATGGATCAAGACATAAATAATAAAGAAATAAAAGATTTTCTAAAATTTAAGGAATATGAATACAAAACATACTCAAACTTATGAGACAGAATGAAGACAGTTTTAAGGAAATTTCAAAACACTAAGTGCCCACATAAAAAAAAAATTGGAGATATGCCATACTAGTAGTTTAATAGCACACCTGAAAGCTCTAAAACAAAAATGAAGAAATCCCACCCAAAAGGAGCAGGTGGCTAGAAATAAACTCAGTGCTGAAGTCAATGTACTAGAAAAAAAAACAAAAACTACAAAGAATCAATGAAATAAAGACTTGCTTCTCTGAGAAAATCAATACGATTTATAGCCCTTTTTCCAAATTACCTAAAAGGCAGAAAGAGAATATCTAAATTAACAAAATTACAGATGAAAATGATGAAATAACAACAAACAAGGAGGAAATTCAGAGAAACATAAGGACATACTTTAAAAACCTGTACTCCACCAAACTGGGATATCTAAAAGAAATGGATAATTTCATTGATACATAGCACTTGCCAAAATTAAATCAATATTAGATAAGCAAATTAAACAGGCCTATAACCTCTCATGAAATTAGAACCAGTAATTAAAAGTCTCCCAGCCCCAAAACAAAACAAACAAAATAAAAGCATCCCAGGGTTATGGCTTTACTGCAGAATTCTACCAGACTTTCAAAGAAGAGTTAATGCTAATTATATTCCTCAAACTATCCCACAATATAGATTCATAAGGAACATTATCTGACTCATTTTATGAGGCCACAGTTTCCCTGATATTAAAACCACATTAAGACCCACAAAGAAACAGAATTATAGAACCATTTCCCTTATGAATCTTGATGCAAAAATTCTCAATAAAATACTTGCAAACTGAATCCAAGAACACATCAGGAAGATCATCGATCATAATCAAGTAGGCTTCATCTTAGAGACGCAGGATGGTTCAACATATGTAAATTAGTAAATATGATCCTGGAGAGATTAGGGATCCATGGGCCACCTCAACATCATAAAGGCAGTTTACATCAAGCCCATAGCCAACATCAACTTAACTGCAGAGAAATTCCAAGAAATTCCACTAAACCAGGAACAAGACAAAGTTATCACTTTCTCCATACTTATTCACTACAGTACTTGAAGTCTTTGCTAGAACAGTACGACAACTGAAGGAGATCAAAGGGAAAGGAAGATGTATCTTTATTTGCAGATGATATGATAATGTACATGAGTGACTCTAAAGATTCCACTGTGAAACTCCTGCAGCTGATAAACACTTTCAGTAAAGTAGTAGGCTACAAAATTAGCTCACAAAAATCAGTAGCCTTCCTACACACAAATGACAAATGGGCTGAGAAGGAAATCAGGGCACAGCACCTTTCATAATAGCCTTAAATAATATAAAATATCTTGTGGTAATGCTAACCAAGCAAGTGAAAGACTTGTGTGATTAAAAACTTCAAGACACTGAAGAATGAAATTAAAGAAGATATCAGAAGATGGAAAGATCTTCCATGCTCATACATCAATAGGATTAATAGGTATCAATAGGACTTAAATGGCCATCCTACCAAAAGCAATCTATAGTTTCAATGCAGTCAGTCCTCATCAAAATTCTGACACAATTCTACACAGATCTTGAAAGGACAATCTTCAGCTTCGCATGGAAACAAACAAATCAGGAAAGCTAAAACAATCCTGAGTATATTCCTGGCATACAAATGGACTTTGGCTGCCCATCCCATAATGAGAGATGCTCTCTTAGCCTGGACTCTTGGGGGAGGGCCTAGGCCCTGCCCTGGATGAAATGACAGACTCTGGAGACCCTCCATGGAAGGCCTCATCCTCTTTGGGGATCGGAGTGGGAATTGGGTGGGGGCTGGGGGTCTTTGTGGGGAGGGCTGGGGAGAAAAGGAGGTAGAGGGAACTGGGATTGACATGTGAAGCAAGCTTGTTTCCAACTTAAATTAAAAAAAGGAAGAAAAAACAATTAAAAAAAAACTGCTGGAGTGATCATTATCCCTGATTTCA